CCCGCCCCCGCCCGGGCAAGCCTGGGGGGTCCGCTCTGGGCCGTGTAGCAGCAGGAGCAGGGCCGTGTTGCAGCAGGAGCAGGGCCGTGTTGCAGGCAGAAGGGCTGTTTGTCCGTAGCGTGGGGGATTTTCTCCCCTGGCTCCTGTCACGTCCCCGCTCCCCGCGGCCCTGGGGAGCTCAGGGACGGCGCGCAGGCAGCTGCAGCAGCTCAGAAGCTGGCAGGTGCTGTCCCCACCGCTGCTCTTAGCAAATGCCCTTGCTGCCAACACTCTCGGGAGCACCTTGGTCTCTCCAGCCGCAGGGTCCCTTGCCAGCTACGTGGTAACCAGAGCTGAGACACAGAAATGCTCCGACTTCTGGATTTACCTGGAGACAGGCAAGTCCCCACAGGAGCTCGCCATGGCTGGTAGGGTGTCTCAGCCCGCAGGTACGTTCACATCTCTCCCTGTTGCTTTCCCTGGGCTTGTCCTGCCTGGTTCTTCCCTGCTGTAACAATTTGCCGTTCCCGCCTCATAATTAAGCTGGTGACTGTTTGTGTCATTGCTAAAATCCCGATGTAAGTCCCATACTGGCACCCCGCAGCCGAGGGATGCGAGCAGGCACCTGGGGTGGCAGCAGTGCTAGCGTGGCCAGAGCTCCCTGCCTGGTCCCATGGCTCCCGTGTCCCTCCGTGCTCCGGGCCCACTGCAGGTACCTGAGCAGGGCATGGGGTGGGAGCGCTCGCTTCTGCCTGCTACCCTGCCTGCTTTGTGGAATCACAAGGGCTTGTTTGCTGGAAGAGGAAGAAGAGGGTAGGGGATGGAGGGAGGCAGTAAACCCCTCCTTGCCCTGGTTGCTCTGTACGGTGGGCAGAGCTGGAGGGGCACCAGAACAGCCGCTGCTGGATGGTTCCCATGGTTGCCTGCTGCTTTCTCCTACTGGTACCTTGAGCTCCCAAAGCTGGGGCTAGCTGAAGAGGCTTTAAATGCTTCACCAGGGCTCTGTGGTTCTCTGCCTGCCCCTCGCAAACATGGCGGGGTAGTCAGGGGTCCAGGGAGCTTGTTCTTTCTGTTGCAGAAAATCTGCCCAGCCCAGAGGACAGAGAGAGCGCGGCAGCACTGGTGAGGAGGAACAAGTACGGGGACGTTGTGGAGTAGCCAGCAGAGCACAGCGCACCGTGCCTGTGTCCTGCTTCACCCCTTCCTGCCTGCCCAGCCTGCCTGTGCCTGTGCTGCCTGCGAGACTGGTGGGCTCTGTGGCACTGCCTGGGAGCTGGGATGGGTTGACCCTGCAGTGAGAGCGTGGTGGAAGCACTGTAGGAATTGCTGCCTCCCAGGTGGCCTCTGAACATCGCACACGGGGGGTACAATAAAAGTCGAGAGCTGAAAGCAGACGTTGTGGACGAAGCGAAGGCTGGTGGTGGGACAGGAAGAGCTGGGGTGCAGGTGGTAAACGTCACCCTGAGGCAGCCCCTGCAGTAAGTGTTGGAGCAGAGAGCGCTGGTCCCTCTGAGGCCACAGCACCCACAATCCGACAGCACAGGGCTGTGAAGTGAGTGCAGGCAGGGACGGGTCTGGGCTAAGCTGTGAGGGGGGAGAGCTGTTGCCATGTGCTCTCTGTTTCTAGCCGGTCACAGTGTCCCTGCCCCGATAGCAGCAAGGCTTTTCTCGCCTGCCAGAATGGAGCTGAGCTGAGCTGAGCCCTGCAGCTGCATGGCCTCTGGGGGTGTCTTCTCTGCACCCGCAAAGGGGGTGCACACGTGCCCAGAGCCCCTCTGAGCGGTGCCTGCCTTGCTCTTGGGGCTTGTCACCCAGCCAGTCCCAGACTCTCCATCCAGATCCGTAACCAACTGGCAAGGGAATGGCACTGTCTTGAATCCCATGCATCCAGAGAGGCACGTGGGAAGATTAAGAAGCCTCTTTTACTTCATTTTTTTCTAATAGCAAACTCCAAGTCATGACTAGGGCAAAATGGCTGCTCTTGGTGGATGTCCAGCTCTGATTCAGCTGCAGCTGAATTTCTTAGAAGGTTCTGGGTTCTGGAAACTAGCTGGTTTCTTAGAGCAGAGCAGCAGCATTTCAGCTCCAGAGACCAGAAATACCTTCTTCCGTGTCAGAGCTGGAGACGGTCCCTGAGCCTCGCCATGGGAGGGAGTTCCTATGCTGAGGAGGCGAAGGGTCCAGTGAGGAAACTGGGTTTGGGGGCTCAGAACATCATCTGAACCGGCATCGCTCTTGGCCTGTGCAGAGATGGGGAGCAGCCAGCAGAACAGCTAAAAGCAAAGTGGCTGCGGGGAATGAGTGGGTTAAGCCAAGCACAGCGTACCAGGAGCTTGGCCGGCGCAGGGAGTGGAGCTCGTGCTGCCTGCGAGAGCAAGGAGGGCAGCAAGAAACCGCAACTCTCGCTAAAGCCGCTCCGCTCCTGGGGTGCGCGGAGGAACGTGGCGGGGCGGGAGGCTCTTTCCAGATGGGCTTGACGAGTCGGGACTGGCCCGGGCACAGCTGCCCAGCGGCTGGATGCCTGCAGTGGCGGCTCTGAGCTGCCAGCAACTGTACAAACAAATTGCAAACCCTGTGGGCTGCTCTCCTGCCCTGCTTGGGTACCAGACCCAGTCCCCTGGGAGCGGAGGCTCCCTACGTGTTTTCCTTGTGTGGAGGCTGTGGCTGCGAGTGCAATGGTGAATGCACGGGGCAGTCAGCTTGAGCGCTGCCTGCTCACGCCTTTGGGGTGACTGGACCTCTAGTGCTTGGGAAACCCCAACTTTGCAACTGTGGCTGGTTGAAACTCTTCCATGTCCAGGTGGGTCTGAGTCTGGAGTGAGGTTTCAAGCCCACCTTGGTCCATCTTGGAGGCTTCTCCAGGCTGGTAGAGCATACGAAGCCATGATGGTGTCTCAGCACTGGGGAGGCTGCAAGGGATTGAGAACTTCAGGCAGAGCCTGGCCTGCGGCTGTGTCCCGAGTAGACCCCATAAGTGGCTCTACCCCTGCGGGACAGCCAGGTTTTATCAGCCTGTTGCTGATCAAGAGCCACAGAGCCATAGGAGTGGTTACAAAGATTTATTTCTGATTATAAAAAAACCAACCAAACAAACCCAAGTCTTCTGCATGTTTGCATGTCCCTGTTCTTACTCAATTGGAAACGAAGGCGCATCCTCCCGGCTGCCTGGTGCGGGGTGATGCAGGGCTCAAATACTAAAGCAGTGCAAAGCCCCGCTCCCGCAGTGAGCCCATCACCTCTGCGCTGGCACGGCCACGCACCAGGGAACCA